CCATGGTTTGAGGATAACGGCACGGTGTTGAAGTCCGTTACCCAAAAACGTACTGTTGTGTTAGTAATCAAGCTCAACGATCCACACCCACTCACACTCGCCATTGCTCTCTGGTTTATCGGTGAACTTTATAAAATTATTAAAATTTGAGTAAGAAGAGAAAAGATAATGTTTTTTATTGAAATAATATGATATATTGAAATATAAAATTAATAAAATTTGGGTAAAGAGAAGAGATAATGGATAATTTTGGAGAAAATATCTTTAGAATGAAACTTTTGGAAAAAAAATTAGAGTGTGTTTAAATATAAAATTAATAAAAATTGAATAAAAAAATAAAAAAAAATATATAAAAATTGAGTAAAGAAATGAATTAAATTAATAAAAAAAATATATTTTTAATAATTTTATATTTAAAGAAACTCACAAACTATTAATAGATAAACATGGCTTAAGTCGTAACAAAATCCCCCTCTTTTTGCCTTATCCCCTTTTTTGCTGCGTTTATATTTTTCCCTTTTCTATTTTAGCTCCTAAATTTGTTAACGTTTTACAATTTCTTCATTATTATTCTTAAATTGAATTTACCATCCATTTGTTAGTGGTGTGCATTATTATTATTTTTTTAGGGGTCAGAAATGTTTCATTCAGTAAGTGAGTGACTTGGAATCAATCTTTCTCTTGTTTCATGTAATTGAGAATTACTGCTAGTATCTATATTTATAAAAGAATTAAAGTTTAAGGAAGCAAATTCTATAACATATTTCTGTATATTATAAGCTCTGTTCTTTTGCTTAACGCTGCGTTTGCAGTAGCGACGAACAAAAACAGAGTAAAAAGGCGATGGTGAAAATTAAAAGGTGTCGCTGAGCACAATAAACTAAGAGATGTTGGTGATCGGAGATGTCGCTGAATTTTCTAGCAGCAGCGACTAAAAGAAAAACGAGTCGCTGCGTCTCCAAAATCAACGCCGGCCATAGTTCTCCACAATCTTGAGCCCCAAGCAACTAATATTTTGTTTAGATTTTTTTGGTCGCTGCTGCAAACGCAGCGTTAAGCAAAAGAACAGAGCCTATTTATTTATATCAACTATAAAATCTAGAGGAACACTCTCATGCAAATGATTTATGCATAGATTTTGTATTATTTGATGGTATATATGATGGTCCATTAACCTTTTATATTGTCACGTTTTGGACAACTGAACAACAAAAAAAAGGAAAAGAAACAATCACTTGGTGTAAATCATTTGATGAAAAATCGAACTTAACTCATATAAAAAATCCTCTCTCGAATGGGTCGCCCTAGCCGCCGTAAACAACACTTCCTCCGTCGTGTGCTCAGCTTGGCCCGTCTCTTTTTTTCTCCTTTTCGTTTTGTTTCTCTCGGTTCATCCTTAGGTTTACGAGGCTGGTTTTGGACGGGTTCGGATTGTAATCGTAAACAAAGCTTTGAGATATTGAACTCTGAAAACTTCTCTCTTAATTAATTCCAAAAACAGAACATGGCTTATATAGCCTTACAGCATAAACGGACTCCTAAAATTATTCCACAAAAACAGAGCAACTAATAACTTCTACAAGACTCAATCAAACCACTAAAACACTAACTTAAGACTCGGTCATTTTATTGACTCAACACCAACATCACTAAGACACGACTTCTTCAAACTCCATCTCCTTTATTCTCGGACTGATTTGCTCCAACA